TTTTTTTTTTTTTTTTTTTTTTTTTTTTTTTTTTTTTTTTTTTTTTTTTTTTTTTTTTTTTTTTTTTTTTTTTTTGATAACAAATAAGATGGGGAAAATCCGAAAGTATGCGATGTATCGTGTAGCGAAATATCCAATTTAGTTCAAAATATATTATTAAACGCGGAAGAGTTAATACACGGCTCGCATCAATGGGCAAATGTGAAGAATATCAAGGAGGCAGAGAAGATTTTGAAAAAAAGTATTAATGAGGTTCGGGACGCTAAATAAATTCGGTTACCTATTATTAAACAGCTTTATTCAATCTAACATAATCATCTTTACCAGTTAAAGAGTATGGGTACCTCTCGTGCGGTGAAATACATTTTTTGTCTCTTTCCATTCTCGGATATGCTATTTCGAGGGATTTGTTTGCATATTTCAGCTGAGGAAAACTTGAAAACCGCAAAATATCTGAATAGCACGGAGAAGATTAAGCTCTCTGATTTTTCCAGAATAACAAATCTTATTCGCGAAAGATCCATGCAAAATACACCGAATTCATTATTCCGAGGTGAAACATATGATCATTCTAAGTATGCAGCCGAGAAGCTAGATAAAATATTCTATGCAAAAGGTTATGGAGATTGCGTAGGCTGCGGCAAACCACTGGGACCCGGTTGGTGGTGCAACCACTGTAATACTGAAATTTTTCGAAAAAATTTTTCAAGTTGGACTAGTGGTGATATTGATATTGATGGTTTCATTCAAGAATCCCAACTCGCCGCAAGGAATTGTTTAGAAATATTAGAGTGGATTCCTTTTGATAAAATAAAAGGATTCAAAGAATTTGAATGCGGAGGATTTAATAAAGTATACAAGGGGGTATGGACAGATGGTTCCATTATTAGGTGGGACCGTGACATAGAAGATTGGATAAGGCATAAAATTGATCTAAAGAATTCGAAATTACTCGAAGATTGTCAACCAAATGAAAAAATTGATGGGATTGTTGTAGCATTAAAAAGTCTTTTTAGTCCAACCAATACCGGAAAAGATTTAAGCGAGGTTTGTAATTATTATTATTTAAACCATTAGAATGCATCAATTTAACAGACTATTTGATCCTTTATCAGTGGAAAATTCATCTTGAATGTCACAGAAACGCCATCAGAGACTTCAAAGCTTACCTGATTCCACTATATGGAATCACTCGGCGTCCGGAAACTGGAGAATATATGATTGTGATGAGATACGCTGAAAGAGGAACTCTAAGAAGTGATATTCAGAACGTAATTTGCGAAAGTTGGAAGGATCGCATGATGAGATTGTATTTTATTTCATCGGGACTTGCTTCGATTCACAAGCAGAACATATTTCACGGAGATTTACACAGCGATAACATCCTTCAACTTTTAGATAGTATTTCCGTGATAAATGACCTTGGAGAGTGCAAGTCAATTTATGATAGTCCAAATGACGGTAATGCTGTTGGTAGGGTACCATATATCGCACCGGAAGTTCATGAAGGAAAACCTTATACTTTGGCAGCAGATATTTATAGTTTCGGAATGCTGATGTGGTTAATTGCCTCCGGAAGAGAACCATTTAGCGATAAGTCTTGTGAGTCTCAAGATTTAAGAATGGCTATTCTCAATGGAATGAAACCGGAAGTAGACAAACTCGAAGATGTTCCTCAACCTTATATTGATTTAATGGAGAGGTGCTGGGATTTGGATTTAAACAAGCGTCCAACTGCAATTGAACTAAGAGGTTCTATTATTTATTGGTCTACTTTATGTTTTATTGATCCTGGAAGAACCCCCACCCTGCAAAGCTCTATCAGACAAAAACTAGATAATATTATTGAAAGTGTTTTTGAGAGTTACGAAGACTTTGAAGACTTCGATGATCCAATAGGGGATATGGAGAACTTTTTTCGGATTATCAAATATAATAACCTGTGCCTTGACGAAGAAGTGCATGACTACCTTGCAGATGCTGAAAAGTTCTTTCAGATTAATAAAAATAGTATTAACCCAGATATTTTTATGAATGATGAGGAAATAACCGATACACGGACCGATTTTTTTAACTGCTTGAGTGATGGTGATAAACGTATGATAAGAACATCAAGAAAAGTGATCCCTCAAATCTATCAAACCGACAACTTCAACGAGGAACAAAGCAACAGTTTTTCTGGACATTATTCTCAATACGGTGAGCATTCTATGTTTTATGTTCTATGAAGATGACGATTAAATAAACGAATTGATTGATTTATTCAATTTAAACAGATCTCACTTTTGAAGACCCAGAAGGTAATGTTTAAGCTCAATCTTTTCAATAACATATTGTTCTGATTATGTGTATCTAAATAGGAGCCGATGATGACGAATCGAATGGTAAGACATAAATTAAAATTCGGCTAATATGATAATCGAGTAATTAGATACAGTAACAATTAATTTAACTTTCCTTTCAGCTTGCATTTCTGATAATCCGGCTACCGATTTAAATGCCTGCGACCCAACTAAATTCTCCAACAAGATAGATAATATTGGCTCTTCTGGTGTTAAAATTACCGATGTCATAAAAAGTAAGTGGAATCTACTTATTTAAAGAAAATGCCTGGACATGCAACTTAACGATACGCGATCTTTTATAGGCAACGAAACCGTAGCGAAGAAAAGAAAAAAGAAAATTTCCGCTTTCCTAAAGTATCTTATTTGCAGTTCAATCCATAAAGAACGTATCACAGACTTTGATGATCTTTGATGTATGCATTGAATGATACATGCAAGGATCTAGTCAATGCTAAAATTTTAAGACTTAGCAATATCCCGATTTTTCTCAAATTATTATTAAGAAAAAAATGTATGCTATTTTTGGAATTTCTAAAATACATATAAAATAGTTTCTTTTTCACAATTATCTCAAAATCAATTGATAACAGAATAAATAATTAAATTACTAGAATAAAATTTAGTTCTCATCACGTAGCTACTAAAATTGATAATCAATTTATTATTATACAATTTCTAAAATTATCGGAAAATAAAATAAAAAAATAAACTAATTGATCTTTTTAACGCTGTCTTGAAGAAAACAGATTATTTTTTTGATTAAAAGTAATGGGGAGTTATTAAAAATATGAGCACTTTTCCATATTGCTATCAAGATTTTATAGATCACGAACTTATTTGTGATGTTGTCAAGTTTGAATATTTATTAAATTGAGATATTACTAAAATAGAATAAAATAATTAGAAGAAAATTAAACATGTCAACCTTTTATCTAAAAACTTATGTAGCTGCTTGTCAATACTGCATATTTGAAATTCATTTGATTTTAATTTATATAATATTTTAAAAACTTTAAAAAGATCAGTAATATATAGTTGAGACAAAACCTTTTGCCCTCATTTTTTTTTTTTATTTTTACTTGTAATTTAATAACTATTTGATAAAACTTAATAATATACTTTGTATACTATATATATATTTAAGAATATAAAAAATAAAACTACTTAAAATTAATTACTAGATTATAATTTTTAAAAAAATATTGGATTTTAAATATATTATAAAAATTTTATAATAAAATATTATTATAATTATTTTAATTATTAAATTTACAAATAAAGATAAATAAATATATAAAATAAAATTTTTACAATTTTATTATCAATAAATAATCTACAATTATATAATTTATTTAAGTTTAATCACTAACTTTTAAACCATATAGAAAATTTTTAAATTTAATTTTACCAAAATAAATTATATTGAATATTTTATTATATCATTAAAAATTTTTTAAATTTTTTTATTTTTAATTAATTATTTTTAAAAAATTTTATTACAGTAAAAAATTTATTTTTCAACTACATTTTTACATAAATTTATTTAAGAAAATTTATAAAAAAAAATTTTTTTGGTTATTTTTTTAGCTTTAAATCAAATTTTTGAAATTCAAACTTAAGTATTTTTTAAATAAGATTATAAATTATATATATTTAAAATTTTATTTTGATTAAATAATTATTTATTAAATTATAATAAAAAATAAAAAAAAATTTTATCCAAACTGTATATATATATATATAATAAATAAATAGTAATAATAATATACAAATAAAAATTAAGGCATTAAATATTCTTTCTACTAATCCTTAAATAATATTAAAAAAATATTCATAAGTTTAATAACCTCTAAAACAATTTAAAAAATATATTTAAGAATTACTACTATATTCTTTATTTTATTTATAACTTAGACCTATGGGTCTGTAGTACAGTGATTAGCACTCTATAGGTCATATCACAAGGTCACTAGATCAAATCCTCCAGGGGAAACTCCTGACACTAATAGATCTACCCCATTGGCATAACTGTAAACTAATCGATGCTTCTGAATATAGCTCTGATCACTGGTTAAATGGAATTTTCAATGTGGTCACAGGATGATCTATATAAAGATTGGGATACAGTTGAATATCCAAAATTGGGTAGAATTATCCTGACACAACCATGTTACTGGAAAAGAACCGGTAATAAGAAGAGTAGATATTGAACTAGTAGTATACCGCTGAAGGAAGGAATGATAAATCAACCGAAGAAGATTCCAGTTCCCTGCTTTGGTGTTAAGACATCTGTTCAAGAATTCAAGTATGTGACTGTGCCAGGTTTTACAGACTTAACTATCAGGAGGCCTTGGTGTGAAGAGAAATTCATGAACCATTCCAAAGGACTAAGAAATCTGAAAAATCCAGAATAAAGAAAATTCGATGGCCTGATAACCAGACTATTCTTAATATAAAATAAAATTGTTCTAGAAAAAATTAAGAAGAAATTGTACATCTTTCCAAATAGTTAGTAGTTATATATATAAGTAAAATAAATATAGCTACTCATATAAATAGGTTTATTTCAAAAAATATATAATTACATGTTGACAAATATATAATAAGGGGTTTGTACAGATCCCTCAATTGTAACTCTGGAGAAAAGGCCCAATGTATCTGCAAAATCTGTATAGCATATATATTAATAAAAGATGTGGCCCATCTAGAAAGTTACCATACTCAACATACAAGGACTTGTAGAAACACACAAATAAGAAACATGGTTTAACTTTTGCAGTTCAGCAGAATGGAACTTCATAATTACTATAGAAATCAACGACTCATATCACTAATCAAATCACTGACAACATGCAAAATACCAAACCATCTGGATACATAATGAATCCCAAATAATCAATCAAGGTTTCATCATAATAATCAGTAAAGAAATAGTTTATCAGATATATAACTATAAAACACTGGCTGAAAGACTTATTACCACTGACCTGGCTTTACCACATAAATAAAAAATGAGAATTATAGGAATATACTTTTCAGTACAAGATATTGAAGGAGAGAAGCACACAGTCACCAACACTCTTAACAAATAGATCCAAAAAGCAACATAAAAAGGCTAACACATTATGGTACTGAAGGATCTCAATGGAGATTTCAACTCTTCTATGAACAAGCAAAACATTAACAGGGCGAACAAAAGGTGCAACCCCTTGGGCAAACACATATAGACTCTACTAAACAATAAATTAGAAGACACATACAGAAAACACAATCCAACCAAACATGAGTATACATGGAACAGAGATAAATTGAGTAGTAAAATCAATCAGATATAAATAAACCCTATAGTAATCTGACAATCTAGAGCAGCCACTATTCAAGATTCTATAGCATCTCTTATACAAAGTGATTACAAGTCAATGACAATGGAATTGGAAGTCTGGTATTTATACAGACCTAAACAAGTATCACACCATATACCTAATCCTCGTCTAAACTGGCATCTGATCACAACTAAACAATGAAAAAGTTCAGTGAACAAGTAGAACACCATCTCTCTATCAAAAGCACAAACAATCAAGATATTAACCAAAGATATAACTGCTTCAACAATATTCTACAAAAAGCTACAAAAAGTCATATATTTAAAATGAATAAACATTGCAGGATAAGAAACAAATACAGTAATATAGAAACAGTTTCTCTTTTTATACAACTGCAGAAATTTCTTACATACCTCAGATAGTCAGCAACAGTGACAACAGGGAATCAAGTATTACAGTCAATCAAGCCATCTAGCCAGATACAAGAACTTCTTCCAGATCTAATGGCAATACTGAATTAAATTAAAACCAACAATTCCTCCTCATATATCCAACACTGGATCAAGGTCATCAAAAACAATATCAAAGTACACAAAACTGTCACCAAAGCAATCTTCTAGAAAAGACAAGTACAAGTCATCAAAATAAGAATCCAAATCAGACAAGAATATCTTAACAGCAATAAAAGAGCCATGATAGACATCATTATAGAAAGACCTAGAAAACAAATACTTCTCAATAAGCTAATTATACAAAACTCTGATGAGATCAAGATTCTTTCTGAACCAACAAACATCAAGAACAAAGTTCACAAACATTTCTACAAATGGACCCCATCCAGAAACATTGCTGACATTATACAACACCCACACTGACTAGAAGAATATAAGCCTAAACTATATATCAAGAAATACTTCTATAAAGATATACTCGATAATATCTCGATACAAGAACTGGAAAGAACAATCAGACAGCATATCTTAAAATCCGTTTTCGGCCCAAACCAAATTTTCTATATCACATACAAACATCTATAAGGCAAAACAAAAGCAGAATTGTGTACAATTTTCAATCTAATAATTCAACATGGAATAATATTAAAAGAATGGAGCAGAGGCCATATATATCCCATACCCAAACTCAAAGATTGGGCAAACAATTTCAACATAACCAGATCCATAACACTCCTGGATGCAGGAAGAAAGATCTTCACTAAAATTATCACTGATTGTTAAATCACCTGCCTTGTTAAGCATAAAATATTATTCGAACTCAACTGGACTGCACTTTCAGAAAATGGCATACAGGATCCCATACACATTTTAAACAATATTATTGAACATGCAAAGAAGAATAAACAACAAGCATGGATCCTAAACCAAGATATGTCCAAAGCAAATGATTCAATCAACATCAAAATGCTACAGCTAGCTCTCCAAAGAATTCAAATACCAACCCAAATCACACAAATCCTCAGCAACATTCTGCAAGAGTGATCCAATAAAGTCATAACCTGTTTTAGTCTAACAGAAGCATACCAAGTAAGAGATGGAATTGATC